AGTGTAATTCGATAGGTCTATCAAAACTTGAAAACTTGAAAATCTTGAAAATTGACGGTCTAAAAATGCGTTACAAACTACACTATTTCCAAAACTTGAAATCCATTTTTTTTCATGTCTATGCATCTTGATGTCGAGATGATCAATTTGATGATATTTGGGCATCAAAACAACTTCTTCTAGTAAAATTTTTCAGTTGGATCAAATTTGATTGTTTAGAGTCTCGGCTCTATAAAAACTTTTCCAATAAATAAAACCTCCAAATCAATGGGAAAAGATTACCACGAGAAGCCAATCGATCAAGATCTGTCAACTCATGGTCATTCCCAAATATCTAGTTCGACATGCTAAAAAGCGTGAGACTGAAGAGAAATCTAAGAAAGTGAAGATTAAAAAAACTATTGAAAAGGGCAAAATTGTCAATGCTATAACGCCCAAAATGCAAGTTCAAAAGAGAACAGAACAACACCACTATCTCCACTTTACCTCAAGTTCCAAGGCCTTTAATAGATCTCCAATAACCCTAAGAGAGAAACTATGAAAATATGAAACAATAAACTGAGTGGAAAAGTACAATCTTGTGCAGAAGATGAGGAGGAGAGGAGATATGCTACTTGCCTTTGTTTTAACCCCATACTCTTATAGAAAGAGAGAAAAAGAGGAGGAGGAATGCAACTAAATCGATTCAGACCTTGTTTGAACTCCAAATCCCTAGAAAGAATGAGGCCTATCATAAGAGAGAGAGAGAGAGAGAGGGCAAAGAATGAGAGAGATGAGTTGGAGTATAAAAGGGGCCGTGAGAGTTGATGAAAAAGGCCTAATAAAAGGAAGGGGAAAAGCTCCATTTACAAAAAAAAATTTAGCCATTTTAATTTTTTTTGGATTGCGGATTTTAGCCATAAGAAAAGGGGTTTTCAACATTAATTGAAAAAGGTCCTAGTTATCCAAACAGTCTTTAGTGGTTACGGAAAGGTTTTTCTCTCATCATCCAAAAAACCAGTGATAAGCTATGTTGAGTTTGAAGCAACATAGGAAAGTGGCCAAAACTAACCCAGTGAATCCCAATCATAAAACAAGACCGATTTGCAAACTTTCCTTGAATTGTTTCAATTCTTGGTAACTATTCTTCCAAATCTCGAAGCAAAGTATGATCCAGCCACAGTAAGGAATACGGGGGATGGTTCTTTTGTGTCCCTTTTCCTCTTAAAACAACCCAAAATAATAAAAAGATATTCCTCGTATCTAGCAAGCCAACTATATACCCTTCTTTGTAACACAAGAGAGAACAAGAAAATTATGGTTGTGATAGAACTCTGATAAAAATGAACATCTCAAAACACAAAATAGAAATTCTATGACTCGAAAGCTCCCAAAATGATCATCCTTAGGCCAATGATCATAGAAACTCAAGGTGATACGGCACCTTTCAAAATGGCTGCACATTAACACTTCCTCCACTTCTCTCTTGCACCAGTCAAACTTGTCATTTGAAGAAAGCAGAAGTAAAAAAGGGGAAAAAATGCCAAGCAAAATCCATCTTAGTTTGTTGCAGACCTTAGAGTAAAAAAAGGGTTTGTCCCAAAAACACTTCCGAGAAAAACATGAAAACAACCAATTTCTACTTTCACAATAGAGCCTTTCTAGAAACTAAATAATAATAAACACTCAATACTTAAAACTAAAAGCAAACCATACAATTGCGTTCAGAATTTCATACTAGCCAGCAGAGAATCAGCTGAATCAAGGAATTACAGAAAAGATAACAGGACTACAAGGAAAGCAAAGCCAAACAATAATTACAATACACCAAAACCAATCTAATTAGATAACAATAAGGGATTGGACGAACACTATAAACAATGACACCAAGATACTACAAATGCCCATCTGTTCTTCACCATCAGCATTTTCAACTTCATAGAAAAGATTACCAAAACCCATCAAAACCAAAGTCCAAAATCCACAGCAGAGAATCATTAAATAAACACAAAAAAAAAAACCTCACCTGATCATCATTATCCGGATGGTATGAAAATTGGCCAAAACAAGGGGATCTAAAAACCCGTTTCTCCCTTACCCCATTCACCCTTGGAGTGTTCGATGAAGAAGATGTCCTGCTATGGCTTGATCCCATCTTTAATCCACAAAGCCAAAAGTCACTTTATTGAAGGCTCTAATATAGTAGTATACATATGAAATCCTGGATTTGAAATGGGAGCCATGAAAACCCTAGAAAACCCGCAAATCCAGATTCAGAGATTTGAAGAATAATATTAAGGGAACTGAAGATTGAATTGGAATTCAAATGAGCCATACACGTGCGTACAGAAGGAACACAGGCTGGAAAAGGAACAAGGAAACAGAGAAGGCCCTACATTTAAACAGTATCCCTAAAGGGACTGTACTAAGGCCAAATTTGCAGGTGCCTTTTATATTGTATCTAGCGGCACTTAGAGAGAGAAACAAGAGAGCTTGAGAGAGAGGCCTGTAGAGAAATTTGTAGGGCCTTTGTTATGGTATGTACTTTGAGAAAGAGTATGTGTATACAAAAAAAATCATAAAAAGACCCGAAAAAGGAGAGGCAATGACCCCAAAAAAAGCTTTACCTTTGTAGTGACTGTGGGGCCTTTTACCTGAATCTGTAAGAATACCCACAGATTGCAAAAAGAGATGGACAAAAACATATAACAAAAAGAAAGAGAAAGAGGAAAAGGACACCCCACAGAGATAACAAGAGAGGGGAAATAGGGAGTGTTGCAGTCACAGTTAAAAGGAACAAAAAAATACCAACAAAAAATTACAGAAGATGCTGAAAAGAGAGGGAGATGAAAAGACGGATGAAGAAAATGAAAAAGTGTAAAAACCTGGAGAGGAAGAGATACATAGAGGGTGGAAAACCCTACAGAAAGAGCATATACAAAGAACAATCAGAATCACAAGAAATAGGAAAACCTAGAGAGAGAAACAAAAGAGTTACACTGGTAGAATAAGCACTAGAAAACCTAAAATTGAAGAAAATAGAGAGAGAATAAGTCTGCACTGAGGGAATGTGCCTTTTGAAAGATTCATGAATGGAAACAGATCTGGCAGTTCCTCATGGCAATTTATTCAAGTTACAGTAGGAATTTACCTCAGATGAATAACGATGCAATGGAGAAAAATTCAAAAAAATTCAAAACTAAATACGAGATAGAGAGAGAAAATGAGCCATTTTTCCAGGTAGAGAGAAAGAGAGAGTGGGAGCAGGAGCAGTCTTTTTGAAATGCTGCGACCTAACAGGGAGCGTGCAAAATCTTGACTTTTTTCTTATTTTTGGGAAATTAGCTTTTAATGACGATTTTGCCTTCATTCGCTACTTGTTGCCACGCGGAATATGTTAATAGGTTCGTTTAGGATCTCGACCATTTTCGAAAAAATTGGATCAAGATGCCCTCCATTTTGATTCAAAATTTTGTTTTGTTTTTATCCCAGGGACAAAACATGAGAAAATGAAAGACGGAAATTAGCCTTAACTTTTTCTAAACGCCTGATATAGGTTACATTTTGAAATTTGTGGCATGGATTTCTTTCCATTGTAAACTGGATTTCATTACATTGTAAACTGCATACGATATATATTTAAGGTAAACTTTATATGCTTTTCCTACATCATAAAATTTATATACTTCTTTTTATCCAACCGTCCATAATGAAGAGCTGAAATTACTCCAATCACAATTTCACGTCTCTACACTACTTTATTTTTAAATTTTTTTTATAAATTATTGTGACATCAAATTTTGTACGTCCAATCTTCTATTAGACTCGTATTAGCGAAAAATATAAAAACATATTTTTAATAAAATAAAATGATCAAAATACCTTTAAACGTTTTAAGTAGTATTTTGGCCATTATATTTTATCAAAAAATTATTTTTAATATTTTTTATAGGTGGCCCCCAATGAGAAGATGGCACATATCAAATTTCATATTCATACAATTTATATAAAAAAATAAAAATAAAATACTCTAAGATGTCAAATCTAAGATCAAATAATGAGTGGCTCTCTTAATCAAAATTAGATGGCTGGATGGTAGGAGAAGCATAGTTCTTTTATGTTGTAGGGAAAGTATAAGCATAGTTATTTTATGATGTAGAAAAAGTATAGAAACATTTCCCATATATTTATGAGAAAAACTCTTTCTAATGCCCATAATCAAAAGTGTACAGTAATTTCACCCCACAATAGCAAGAGTCGTCGTGGTCAATGTTATCATATTCGCTTCAGAGCCTTCTTTGGTTTGGTGAGAAAAAATTAAAGCAATTCGGTGCTTCGACCGATTTGAGGGAAGACTTTATACTTTTTTAAATAATTTTAATATAAATAAATTAGATATTTATATTTATATATAATATATAAAAACAATAGAAAAATTAATATAAAAAATAAAAAAATATATAAGTTTATATAAGTTTTCCTTCTCTGATTGAAGTAGCCCAAAGTTTCGACTGAAACACACTAAAATCAGACTAATATAGCCTGAAACGGTTCGAATCTAACCGAAACAACAGCACCACCGAATTCTCTCATTTCGGTTTATATTTAAAAGGCTGCCAAAATCCTTGGAGTGTCATAGACCTTGTTATGTCCCTGATATGGCACTGTACCTACTTTATTAGAATTGGTACGATGCGACATTCCCACAAAAAACATTAGATATCGGCAAACCTATAGGTGAATTCATTTTACAATTTCACCTGTGAGTGGTTTCCATATTTATATGTGCCAAGCTTTTCCCTCAAAATTGCCTAGAAACTTACAAATTATGAAAACCTTGCCCCGTGTTGTCAACGACGGACGAACAATAAGGTGTGATTGGAGGAATTTTACCATCATTAGCTATCGACAAAAGCTATTTTACTTCCGAAAAAGGGAATGTCCATTTAATTCCTCGGGTAAAATTTTAATTTTATTTATGAAAAAGAAAATGTCCATTTACTTCCTGGAGTAAAATTTTTTATTGAGTTAATTTTAGGATTTTAAATTTGGATGATGTAATATTTTCAACCCATTGATTAAATTCTATAGAATTTTTTTCTAATTGTATCCTTTTATGTACTTGAAAAAATTAATTTCTCGAAATTGAATAGAGATTTTCTAATTTTTAGACGATGAGATCTAAGTGTTAGAAAACTAAAATTTTCATATATATATTTTTAGAATAATGTAATTTTTAAATAGTTATCAAAATTTTAAATTGAAAAAATCCTTCAAAGTAACTCTTCTGACTGAGGAAGTCAAAGTAAATTATACTCCCATAAGAACATAGCATATGTGCTAAAAAAAATTTAAATTTCTAGGTAGTTGATCAACTTGAATAATCGAATTTAGAGGCAGCGTTCCAATTGTGTATAACTAACCGCTGAGAAATCCTATTGAACTTAGGACTTAGTGGTCCAATTCACTCGAAGGGAAAGCGAGAGATGGGTAATTAATGGGAAAGAGAGAGATTTTGCATTTGGGGGTGTGGCATCCGGAATCAGTGGCTAGTTCAAAATCGTGTTTTATATGTCGATTTTTTCTGTCCTTCGAAGTCGGTCGGGGTCGCCGCTCTTGCTTCTTAGAAAATCCGTGGAAAATTTTATAGACCAAGGAAAACGAGAAATAAGAGAAGATGCAATAATTATTAAATGAAAAAGTTCGTATAAGGCTGCGACGTTAAAATTTAGAATTACGGTGCACATCAAAAATATATTATAAAAGGTTGTTTTGATATTGGAAAACCCTCTAAATTATCATTTAAACAGCGCAATGTATTAATATAAAAAGAAAATTGATTTTGAGTCCTAAAAATAGTGTATCTCGCAACACATTATTTGGACTGTCCATTTTTTAGATTTTCGTATGTATGTCGATCTACTTGATTTGAATCATTTTTTAAGCTTAAAATTTTATAATTAGATATCAAAATAGACTCTCAAGCCATCCTAAGAATTTTTTANACCAAAATCATATTTATTATAAATTTTGAAAGTGAACCTTAATTTGATTGTTTAAGATTGCAATCTTATGCAAATCACATCCATTCTTAAAACATTATCAAGTATGAACATGATGAGGCTTACAATCATTGCGATATTTCGCTAAATAGAGAAATTTAAAATGGACTAGCATTTGAATATTTAGTATTTTATTTTAGGTGTATTTTGATAAATTTTAAAACTTGAAATTTGATTAAAATAATGATAGGCAATTTAGACCAAATTATGGGCAACACGTTAAGTAATTTCAAATTATAAATACAATTTGACAAATTTCCTATATAGATAAGGCTTTATAAAGATATTATAAACTTTGGAACATTTGTTATTCAAGAAGAAAGAGCATATGACTTGAAGAAGATTTTGTATTCAAGGGCTGAAGAAGATTTTCTATTCAAGGGCTCATGGTATAATAGGCTTTGTTTTTACAAGGGTTTTAAAAATTAGCGGGCTAACTCAAAATCGTATGGTATAGGTTAGTTTGCTGGGTGGACAATTCTAGTTTCAGGAATCTCAAAATTGCCTAATTCAACAATTTTTTGAGAACTTTTTATTTTCTATTGTCTATGTATGATGATATGACTTGGGAATCACACGAATCAGACCATCCAACTCGGAAATTAATCCCTAGTAATTTAGGATCCAACTCCGATTTTTACGACCCTTATTTCCATCAAATATAATACGAAAAGTATATAATAGATCATTTACTTTTGGAAAATTGATTCATGCGGCGGGGACCGCATTTCTATATTTGTGGTCCCTGACCAAATATTTTTTTAATAGAATTATTATTTCCAATTTTCAAAATTTATGTATTTATTTTTATATTCATGATCTCCATTTTAGAGGTTACATGCCCTTAAAATTGAGTCAAAAAATCCATATAAAAAATAAAAATTCAAGAGGTGACTTATTTATATATTAACTCATAGAAACCATGTCTTTTACTTTTAGCTTAGCCCAATAAAGTCACAATCACTATTGTCCTTTATATTCAAAACAGATGGTTATGAGCAAATCACTTACTAGATTCAAAGTTGAAAAATAAACATTTTAAATTTCGTGACACACGCTAAGCCATCTAATTTTGTATCGAATGGCTCGAAATAATTATGACATCCTTGTAAAAAAAAAAGAAAGGGAAAATTACAAATAACTCCCAAGACTAGACTTTCTATGCAAGTTACCCCCAACCAATTTTTTTTTCTCACTCCCAAAATATACTTTTCTAGCAGATACCTCCAAGTAAAAAAAGGTATGTTTTTTTGACGAAATTACTTTTTTCGTAAATAAAAATTTAATTTTGGCCGGACATTCACGTGGGTTTACATGAGTTAACGGACCGCTCTTTGACATTGTCGGACCCCGTTAAACTTAAAAAGTGTCGGACCGCTATTTAACATTGCCGGACCGCACTTTGGGCCTGTTGGTAGACTGCATGGGCCTGTTGTCGGACCGTATGGGCCTATTGTCGGACCGCTCTTTGATAGTGCCGGACCGTATGGGCCTATTGCCGAAGCATTATTTGTCAATGTAGGACTGCTACTTGTACTGCCTGACCGTTCTTTATCAATGCGGGATTGCCACTTGTACTGCCAGACTGCCGCTACTTTTACCGGACTGACATTACACTACTGGAACGCCCTAAAAATACGCCGGACCATCTTTTCGTAGGAAAGAGGAGAGAAATGTGTGGTAAAAGTAAGAAAAGGTAGTTTAAACTCTTATTTTTGGGTTGAGAGATATTTACTAAAAAAAGTATATTTCTAATAAAACGTTACGAACATGATTTAGTTGGGGTAACTTGCATATAAAGTCTTGTTGTCAGTCATTTTCCAAGATAAATGGTCTCATCTATACAATTTCAATATAATATTCTTAATTTTTCCTTTTAAAAAAAACACCCACCACATTCTTGATAAAGACATAAAATTCACAGTTTATAATATGGAAATGTGTCGCATTTTCAAAATAGTGAAGGTTAAGATAGAAATGGAATAAACACGTGGAACTCAGCCATATTTCAAAAACACGTGAATTGTTCCCTCTTAATGGTCGGTTTTTTATGGACTGAAATGTTCCTTGTTTAATGGGTGGGTACATTGGATTTAAGCTGGGAAAGCCAAAAAGTGGCTATTGAAGCCCACATTTTAGGGAATTCTTAAGTATATCATTTTGCATCGGATCTTTTACATTAAGAAAAAGTTTCGGGAGAATTACAAAAAAGCCCCTAATACCACACTTTTTATGCAACTTATCTCCAGC